CAATCTTAGCAAGGGACTTTGTTAATATATAGTAATCCAAGATGACTGTAAATTACAATCACTCAGAGCCGTCAACAGGAAAAGAAAGAGATAATTTGCAAATGCTGTTTTGCTGGGTTTGGGAAGGGATGTGAGAAAAGACCATCATTTTGTCTATTCTGCAGTGGACAGAATGAAGCCGTGATGCTGCTAAAAAGGCTGAATGTACTAAAAGGAAAACAAAGGAGAATCGTTTATTAGGTCAGTTAAATACTCCAAGTAATTAGTTTTAACGTAGTGATAAAAGTATATTTTCAATTTTCTATTTTGAACACACAAATTTACAGTGGCAATAGGTAAAAGACATGTTTTAAAAGATACTAAAATGCTTGTTGCACAGAAGTATACTCATACACATGGGATTTTCTGAAGTACTTAAATTGCCTGATTCCTATTTAAATTGATGGGAACTCCTGATGTGATTTTGGAAATTCTTCTAGTGCCTCACAGCATGCTTGGTCCTTAAATATGTTTAAAAATCAAGCCTAAATGACTGAACTAATATTATTTGATCCACTTGTTTACTACCTGAGAGGAATAACTTAAAATTTTCTGTTGGATTTAAGTTTATGACTAATATTCACAGAGGTCGCGGTCACCATACGGGTGTCAGAGGCTACCAGGGCAGGTATCCCCCAGAAAGAACAGTGGTGTGCTTGGGGTGATTTGGCCACGGGGTCAAAGGGAGGAGAGTTAGGAGGTGCTGGCTTCCTACACGTGAGGGATGGGGACTTCTGCATCCACTCCGGAACAAACAGAGGAGACCAAAACAGGACCAGCAAGGCTTTTGGAGCAATAGCAGGGGAAGTTGTGGAAGCAGTTTTTCAGACCCGTTTTGAGGGCAGGCTGTGATTTCAGTAGCTGGTTCCGTTAAACCAGCTCTAATAGCCCCCAGTGCATTCCTGGCGATAGCCACACTCAGTTTTTCCTGCTGCTCCAGTCCCTCCAGCTCTTGCATTGATTGTATCTTAGTATTCTTCTGCAGGTCTTTCCATTTTCTCTACCCTGGAAAAGATTCAAAAGCTTTTCTACAGTGCTACCATGACATAGGATGTTTCATTTATGCAGTTACTGTTAATTTAAATCAATCAACTGTTTATTTAAATTCCACATACCTAGCAACTGTAACTACAACTAACAAATATTCCTAAACTTAAATTCTGTCACTTTTTCCAGCAAAAATAGTTTGTGCACAGGCAATGAAAATGGAAATTAAAAACATTAAATGTGTTTAATTAAAGTTATGGCACAAGGACTATGATAGCTTATCCACAACTAAAACTAAAGATAATTTCCCATTTTAATAAACAAACAAAGCAAACCCTTTGTCCCAGTGTTTTCCATACCGCATCCTTTGAAGTCAGAGATGTCTGGGAGAACCTGTGAAAGCACAGTGCATAAAAGCATATTATTGAAGTATTTTCTTTTGTTGTCCGTGTGGGAAGTATGTTATGGAGGGAGCGAGTTGGAAGATTGTGGAGTCTTGGCTGGGTTTTGCAGAAGCAAAGGGAAGTTTGAGGACCAGGCTGTTGGGAAGAGGTAGGGCTCAGGGAAGCGGGGAGAAAGGCTCAGTCCTGCAGACTTGTGCAGCTTCCTGTGCTGGCAGAAATACTTAGTCCTGTTCGCTCTGTTATTTCGAGCAGTAAAGCCCACGTCATTTTTGGAAGGGGCCTGGGACGAGAGACAAGTAGCCGTACAAAAACTGCTGGAAATTATTTGGGAGCTGGGAAGTGTTGGATCTCTGTCTTTTCATTTCCTGACTCTCTTCTTTGGAGAGTGGCGTTTTCATGGCTGGTGCATGTTCTTGACTTTCCCACTGGGCCACACGTCTGGAGCTCATACCTTCTCCCATGAAGGCATGCTCACCAACGAGTGGACGGCCGCACTTAATAACTGTCGGGGCAGTTGGCAGCTTCTTACCAAACATGTATGTATTTGTATCTCATTGGTCATTTGCCAGGAAATTTTAAAGAGTCTACACTGTTTTGAGACACTTCAAGAAAAAATATTTGCTTAAGTGCGAGAAGGGGAGAACTGCAGGCTGTCTCATACGGGAAATCCCCCTGATGTTTGGGAAGTCTTTTGGTGGGAGATAAAGGGAGGTTTTGATTAGTCGTTGTTACTAGTATTTACTTAGTGTATCTGAGCTGAATTTTCTTTAATTCATGCGTGGCTTGAACTAAAAAAACCCCAACCTTTGTGAAGAGTTGTCATGTTGCAACTGTACTTCACAGCACAGAGAGTTGTGCACTCTGACTTAAGCAGCCAAGGATTTTATTGATGACACTGTAGTACAGTCAACACACGGGCCTCTATGTAAAGGAAGTAGTTCATCAAGGATATATCTAATTGTTCATTTGTTAGCAGCCTGGTGTGTTCTAATACTTTCTTGGATCTGAGTTATGGTCAGATATTGAAGATGATGACGACCATAGGGTGCCTGGGAATACAAAGCACTTTCACCACACTGGTTTCAATATGTTGTCATGTTATAATTATTATAGTTTATTCATTGTCACTAACCTGGTTAAATATTTGAGAACAAAGTGGTGTGGTTATATAAAAGTTCGTGCAAGAAAACACAGCTCTCAAGATCTCTTTTAAGCGCTGCTGTTGTCATCTGCAGTCCCCTTTGATCCCAACCACGTATCTGCATAGTAGCTCTGAGGATCTGTGAACCATTTCTCCCTTTCTCCCTGTTTCAGATTGCGGCTGATGCTCGTTGGAACAGTTCAGAGCATCTCTTTGAAGAAACATGGTGGTGACAGTGGCTGATCAAAACCCAAATGCTCAAAAACATTGGAGGGGAGAGGAAATCCATATGCCAGAATCCTGTCACAGCTTGAATCTGTTATTGGAGGAAAAATAGGCTAACAATTAGGGCCCTGGTTGGGATTCAGGAAGCAGGATTCAGCCCTCAATTTCCCATTTAACCATGGAAGGACTGTTTCATTCTCCCTATTCCTTAGTTCTCCAGGTGGAAATGGGTCTTTTCGTTCTCACAGAGGCATCATTAAGTGTTGGGACACCTAGGCACTCTGATGATGGTAGGAGCTCAGATGGGTGCGATTGGAGACGTGAGGTGGGGATGTCCTCTGGTGTGTGAGTGATTCAGCCCCAAATGATGCCTATTGGTAGGACAGGGGATGGTTGTGTGCTTGCTGCTTGTAACTCCTGAGAGTTACTTCGGTGTCAGAGCAGAGTGAGGTAACTTACCAAGTCACAGAGCAGCCACATGGAAGACAACACTGACCCTTTGGAGCTATTCCCAGCAACATCAGCTCATCTCAGTGTGTAATTATAATACAGCCCTTATCTGGAGAGTTCTTATGGGAAAGCAGCTCTTACTCCACGGATTATAGAGATTCCCAGCAGGTCTCTGTTTTTTACTTCTGACAATGTAAAGAGGATGTGAGCTGGAAACTCCTACTCCTCCGGCAGCGTTGGCCCAATGATTTACTAATTTACAGCTTCTATAAAATGCTGTTGATGCCACTGGGTCTACAAAAATGTATTTCAAGGCATAATATGGACCAATGTGGGTGCATTTTCAGCGCTGGAAGCCTGTGAAGGAATGGGCACTGTCTGAGTCTAGGAATCCAGGCTGTGTTCATACTACTGATGAATAACTTGGAAATGAGTATCAGATATCACTGGTGGGAGGAAAACACAGAAGCTGACACTGTCATTTTCAGAGTGGTTTCTATAAAATTAATCTGCAATTGACACTATATGTAACTTTTTGCCTCTTCAAATGTGAATCTGAAGGGCAAATACTAAAAAAACCTTCTAATGATAGTGCTTAATTGTGCAGACCATTCCTGGCATTAACCTAATTCAAAGAAAGAGTCTATGATAGCCATACGCTTTTGTTCTTGAAAAGGGTTCCTCTGGTTGCCAGTGGCACTGTCTGACTGCCCAAATGAAGTGATGCGCCAGGAGCTTTGGATCACAGTCCAGGCAGGCAGCCTGGAGCCCTCACCTCGCCAAGAAGTGCTCCGCACGGCCGAGGTTACTGCTGAGCGACCGGCGCAGGGAAATAAAAGGGCTTTCCTGTGGCCCTTTTAATGGTGCCACCTTTAGGGCTTGCTCTGTGAAGACTAGCCTATGCAAAAATACTGATATAAGTGATAAAAATAATTTGTCATTTCTATTTTTAGGGAAGGGATTGAACACTTGTTTGCAGAGTCCAGCCTCGCAGGGCCCTGAATCCAAAACTGAGGCCTCTTGGCCCTTTCGTGATGCAAACTAATTTAAAATATACATCTGGCACAGTGCAAAGAGAGAACATCCAACATCTGTTGCATTCCATTATCTTGCCTTGCTGCTATTAGACTATTATTAGTATTTAAACTAAATATATCTTCCTGCAGGCTGCTAACCATAATATCTCATTCAACTACCCACTCCTTTCATTGCCATGAACTGTTCTGAACATTACATAAATGAAACTGGGATGTCACTTGATGGACTGTTATCATATTTTATTGCTTTATTTTATTTTAAATGGGAGGAAACAAAACTTGCCAAATGTTGTCGTATGGTTTGAAGAAAATTAACTGGATTTCCCTATCGTTTCGGGCGAGGGAAGCGAACAGAGGCTTTTCTAATGGAGATCAGCTGCAGGCGTTTGGTTCCACACTAACAAGCGCCCATATGCTGTCACTGGTGTATAGGTTTTGTCTTGGGGCTGTAAGACTCTAGAATGACTAGTTTGTTTTTTTTTTAAACTGTCTTTTATAATTAATTATCTGCCTCCTCTATCTCTTCAAAGCCGAGTGAAATAAAGACGTCGTAAGAGACTAGAATTACTCTAAGCAAGAAGTTAGTTTAGAAATGTTTCCCTCCCAAGTCGAACGCTGTGTTTCCACTGGGAGCTCTGCCCAGCAGTTAGAAAAAACTGCCCAAAACCTCGGGTAGCCTTTTGAAATGAGTCATGTTTTTAATTCACATCACCACAGATTGAAGCCACGAAGGATGCTCACAAAGCAGCCAGCCTGCACTGTAGTTTGGCAGACGCTCGTGCTATGTCCGTGCCCGTACACCAAGCGGTGCCCCCTTACGTTGCGAGATCCTGGGACTGGATCATCCGCACGGTTGAACGCAGCCGTCTTGGGCATTATTTTGGCCTGGGACAGGTAGCGCCGTCTTAAATGGTTCCCGAGGCGGGAGGATGCTAGCGCAGACCAGTGGCGGTCCCGGGGAGTAAGGGAGCAGTGGTGTGGATGTGAGCCTTCCCTGCCCGGGAGTCCGTCCCCAAGAGCAGTCCCGATAACGTTTAATTTCGAAGCAGGGGAAGTGAGGGTCCTAGCCGTGTCTTCAGGGGCTGCCCCACCACCCCAGCCCAAATAGCTAGAGGGTAGCCACAGTGCTCCAGCTAGAAAGCCTGGGCACAGCATCACACTAATGCAACTGTGCAGCTTCTGGTGTCTCAGCTGTGGCGTTCAGAGTTACACTGAATATCTCAAAAGTGCCTGGAAATGTCCTTTTAATTGCTTGTTTCTGAGGCTGTTGGTTTTTTGCTGGAAGAGTCCCCTGGCACATAAGCTATTTGAAGTCGGCCGTGTGTCAGTCTGACAGCAAAGGATGAGTAAGGTGCAGAGACCTTGACCTGAACGTGACCGTCTGTGGTACAGAAAAGGGAATGCGGCTCTGGATCTGCTGTAGCAGCTCTCCCGTCTCCCCAAAACTCCTCTGAGCTGAGCTGCCTTCCCAGCGCAGGCAAGGTGCTCCTACACACTGGAGGTACTTGGTTTTAAGCTAATCCTATCTTCCAGTTGACATTATTTATTTATCATTTTACATTATTTATTATAGTACTGTACTTGTTAAATATGAAAGCAGTACCGATATGTTAGGGGTTACTCTTTCCACCCCAAGCAAAGACCCACGCGGACCCAGAGTAGATCAGCTGCCCAGGTCTCTCCCGAACGGCTCGCAGGGGCCGCGGCTGGCAAGGGCAGGTCTTACCTGCTTTTCAGTGCCACGATTGCAAGCCTGCACCCACAGTCGTGCTGACCTGCGTGGGTGTGGGTCACCCTCCTAGCTGGAGGGAGCAGTCGCACTGCGTTACGGCCCAAGGACACAGAGCTGCCGTGTCCCCGCTGGCTTCCCCAGCTTGAGCATCGGCAGCCGCAACCCCCCAGCCTCCATCCCCTCGGGGCT